GGGGGCGTGGCCGCGGAGGGGTGGCTAGAAGTGACATCATTAGTGGAGGAGGACGAGTTAACAAGCCAGGCCATAACCATATTATTCTCGGATTTCCAAGTCTTATATGAAGGATCTGTCGTCATCGGAGCTGGAGCATCACCAGTGAGGTAGTCATCTTTGCCTTTGCCGCATACAAACATCATGACTGACTGCGACCATTGAATGTAATTCTGGCCGGTGAGTTTGTGGTTGGTGATGAGGACAAAATTATTGTCTGAATTGCTGGGTAATGGAGACCCAGCCGCGGAGGGGTGGCTAGAAGTGACATCACTAGTGGAGGAGGAGTTGCAGGCATGGCCGTACTTAGTCATTGGAGAGGAGAGGTGGCGAGCAGAATGACCAGAGATGAGGTTGTGCCGACGAGGAGCACGGCTGAAACTGGCTGTGCTCGATCACGGAAGAAGCCTCGACGCTCAGGTGCAGACAATCGCGGGAGAGGTGCGTGCGCTCGGATGCGGTCGAGGTAGAGAGAGATGCTCGGATCGTCCTCGGACGCAGACGCGGAACAGGTACTCGGACGCAGACGCGGAACAGGCGTTCAGATGCGGAACAGGCGCTCGGATTGTCCTCGGACGCGGACGCGGATCCGAACAGGCGCTTCGACGATCGGGAAAAAACGATCGCGGGAGAGAGCAGGCGAGAGCAGCGGAGACAGCAGGCGCAGGAGCAACGCTGGGGAAAAAAACGATGGAGAGAAGGCCGTGATCAGCTTTCCTTCGATGACTTTGATACCACCTGAATTTTGAATAATGCTTTTCTCACTTGAATACACAGATAATTCACCTATAAATAGGTGAGTACAAGAGAAATAAAAAGAGGAAAGAAATCTTCCTACAATAAAGTAATTCCTATAATTATGGAATAAACATAAATACCAATAATTAAGGAATTACCCTTTTTATATTATGACTTAAATATAAATTAAAGTAAATAATAATGAAGTAAATAATAATGAGGAGTGTAATTCCACATAGAATATAATTTTAGTGGTAGTAGCTATAGTGACAGAAATGTAACTACGGGTGATCAAATTATTCCAAGCTGGGCAAAGCTGTGAACGCTTTAGATATCTCGGGTCTATTGTTCAAAGTGATGGAGACATTGGTGGGGACGGTATTAGTAGAGTTGGTTGGTTGAAGTGGAGGAATGCTTCAGGCCTATTGTGTGATAGAAAGTACCGCTTAGACTGAATGGAAAATTTTATAAGATGGTGGTGAGACCTGCAATGCTCTATAGCGCTGAATGTTGGCCTTTAAAAGAGAAGCATAAAACTAAGTTAAGTGTTGTCGAGTTGAGAATGATTAGGTAGTTGAGTGGTTTTACACTTAGAAACAAAATGCGAAATGAATATATCCGTGATAGGGTTGGTGTAGCTCTAGTGATAGACAAAATTAGAGAGTCATCTTAGATGATCTTAGATGGTTTGTCTTAGATGGTTTGTCATATTAAACATCAACCATCTTATGATTGGATTAGAGGGGTAAATGTTTTTTAGATTTAACTTATGTTAAGAGAGGCAGAGGTAGACCTAGGAAGACTTGGACATATTGTATGAAAAATGATCTTAATTTATTAGAATTAAATGAAAATATGACACTGAATAGGACACAATAGAGAAAAAGAAGACCCCACTTAGTGGGATAAAGGTTTTGTTGTTGTTCATGTTGTTGTTTTTGTTGTTTATGAGGACTTTATACTGACGTCCCATGAAAGTTGTGTTTCACCCATCATAGTGGCTCAACAAACATCTTATATCTTTTCTAGAATTTTAAGAATTACTTTATTGACTACATTAATTTGTTTGTTTATCTATGTGTGACCAACTTAAAATAAACTTTTGGTTAGGTATACTCTCTGCAGAAGCTTAATAATTTATTCTTAACAAATTATACATTATTGTCAAGTATGAAGGTGAATGAAAGGCCTTATTGAGTGAAAACATTGTTTTAGAGGAACTTGATATCTATAATAGTGGATGATTTAACTAATAACATGACTTAAATCTAGCCTAAGGAATAAGCTCAGTGATGTCCATCTCTATACAACAAATGCCCATGTGCTCATTATTAGATTGGCTTATTTGCTTGGTTTAAGGGTGATCCTATTGTAGAATCTGTAGCTATACAACAAACTCCACCAACAGTGAGGAGCAAGGGGCAACAGCAATCGGCGTTCGGCGGCTTCGAAGGTCGGGAGTTAACGCTGGGTCTTCAGTCCAAAATAATGCTATAAATGGGCTCCTCCTTCTCCTTCCTCATTTCCTTCCTTCAAGTGAAGAGAGGGGGTTTTTTTATAGCCTCTGGAGGAGATACATTTTCATCCTTTGGCAAATAACTATCATAACTACCCGATCGAATGACACACATTGATTCCTCTTGATTATAGGAGATCTTTTGTTGTTCGGATGGTCTTAATGGTCTCAGAATCAGGTGATCTTGGGCTTGTTGGATTCCTCTCATCGAGACACTCAATTCGAATATAGGCACGTCAAATTTGGAGTTCATTTGACACCCCTAAATAACCAGCCAAATCCTCTAAAATTGACTTAACAACTTAATACGAGCTTGGTTTGATTCGGGCTGAATCAATTTTGGTATCATTGGGTTCGTCTCTTTGAGCAAGTTAGTTTAACAGTAGGTTTGCTGAAACTGGAACTTTGGATGATTTTTAATTCGAATCAGAACATTTCTTGCCCAAAAAATGACTCAAGATTCGTGTCAAATGATAAAATTCGTTGATGACGCATCAACACTATAGTAGCAATGCAACATGTGTAGAAAAATAAAATAAAATATTTGATTCAACTTTAGTAAAAGAAGGAGAAAGAGAGAGGTGAGGGTTAGGCGCTGGAGAAGCTCTTTTGAGCGGGCCTGGTTTGCGGGAGTAGCGTGAAATGGAAGCAGCAAGTTGTGTGTGTGAGGGATTGGGCTGGAGCAGTTGTTTGAGCAGGTTCAAGTTTGGCAGACAGAGAGCTCGTTGGTAGCGGGTTCCATTGAGTAGTAGGAGATTTGAGGCGTGAAGGAGCTGGGTTTCTTAGGTAGCCACAGGGGGATGCCAGTGGGCAGTTTGCTTGGGTCATACAGGTAGAGGCACAGAGAGGTGCAAGAGGCTGGTGTTTTTTTCTGAAGAGGGGAGATGTGAGAGGTTCTATGAGTTACTATCGTGAAGGGAGGAAGAAGGAGAAGAGTTGTTCAATAAATCTGGGGTGCAGCAAGATTGGTGTTGAAGAATAAGAGCATTTCTATTTTCTTAAATTAATTTCATATTATTTTTATTCTCTTAAATGAGGTGGAGAATTGGGATTCGATAGGATCGAAGGTGGAGGTATGGGTAAGGTATGGGCAGTTCAGCTAGGATGTGGCTTGAGCGGGAAGGAATTGATCTTCATTATAGTTATTCTTATTTTAATTTTTTAATTTTAAATATCTCAATTTGTATGGCATTGACTTGTGTGCAAGGACTTAACAATATGGGCGCCCTTTCTAGATAAATTCAACATTTTGGAGGGACTTTTTTCCTTAATAAAAAAATTATGCTCTTTTTTTTGTTATCTTTGTTTGATTTTGATTCTTTTGATTACTCTGCAAGTGCAATTACCAATTTTGTGTGACAACGATTTTCTGTTTTTGATGATCTTTTTTCTTTTTCTACTTTATTCCCATATAATTTGTTATTGGTTATTGCGAGCATCTTGAATTTTAGTCAAATCGACTACAATTGGATTGTTAGTAGGTAGAAATTATTAGTTGTGGGCATTGGATATAGCTTTTGTATGTTTGCTACATTTTGTTGGAGTAAATGGTGAGCATGAAACACATATGGTTGTGTAGAAACGGATTATATCAGTATATAGTTGTCCTCTTCTATTTCCACACTTAGGGGGTGTTTGGCTGCAACTTTGATTCAAGTATAATAAGATTTAGTAAATCTGGTAAATTCAGTTTTGTCGAATCGAGAGATGTTAAATTCATAATTTTTTGTGGTTCAGTTATCACTAAATCCCATTAAATTAAATCCTTATAATATGTTTGGAGAATTCGGGAAGTGACGATAATAGGTACCTTCTTAAATCCCTTAAATTCATCTCTCTGTAGGATTTACTAAATCCAGGATTAACATAACAGCGTCCAAAAAATTGGATTTACATCCCCTGTTATTCTTTTTTGGCTAGATAAATGTTAAATACATCTAAATCCAGCCTTAAATCCTACTACCAAACGCTCCATTAGAGCTATTTCCATTGTGGTGTGAATTCCAATCAAATTATAGAGTTTCTTTGTGGTTCAATTATCGATGCTATTCTTTGGTTTAGTTTATCATTAAATTATTATTTAATGTGGATTTCTTATATTTTTCAATTTACATCAAATGCGGGTAAATTCTTCTTTTAATTGGCGGTATTTGAAACTGTGAATCCCAAATTTGTTGTCATCTGTATCTGTTTCATCATTTAGTATCAATGAGAATCCTAGAGCCCAAGTCGTTCTACATTTATAGTTTTAGAGTGTCCTCCAATTTTTTTAGGGTAATTCTTGAAAAATCAGTATAAATCTGTAAAGCATTTTCCTTTCGAAGGTTGTCGATTTAGATTAATAGAATTATCAACGTTGATTTGTCAAAATTAGTACTCGTACTTCTTTTTTAGATAACTTTAATTAAATATTCAGCTTTAACGCTTTTCTTTTGGTAGCTAACTTTGAAGCATTCTTGATGAAGTTGCCTTCCCTTTGGCCGAGAATGGATGGAAGAATTAATGAGCTTTTTTTTCTTATTTCTAGGAAAGGATCAATACTTACAGAATCTGAGGTTGCTTGTGCCTTTCTTTGATTGCCCTTCACTTGTTTTGCAGAAAATTGAGAAGGTGATCATTCCTTTATGGCAATATATGCAATTGAATGAGCGAAATTGTGAAAATCATTCATATTCGCATTTACTTCCAAAAGCAGCGTTTGATACACTCTTACAATTATATGCTATTTCCAGTTTTATTTAAACTCTAAAAATTTGGAAAATTTGGATTTTTTTTTTCTGATTTACAACTTGAAATATTTGATTTTATTAGTATACCCCTCAAATCTTTGATATCATTGGTATCCATTTACTAATAAGTCAACTGAGTTCACTTTATCATGTTTAACTGTAGACGAGTTAACTAACTCTATACAAACTTAAATATAGGCTTCAGGAGCTACTCGACACCCAATCGTCTAGACCTAATCAATAATTATTTTGGAATTATATCATGTTCTAGGAGCTTATGTTAACCAAGACGTGACCATACAAGACTCCTGTTATGATGGATTTTCGGTTGTGTTTCTGTAAAATCCGTGTTTAGAGTGGTATGCCGATAAAACTTTTTATGTATTGTTAAAAGACTTTCACGTCCCATTCATTTGCCTTCCATCAATGATTAGTGTATAGGTACGCTTTTGGTTGAATATTTAAATGACGATGCATAAATATTTATTTTATGGATTTGATTACTAGGCTAAACAGCTCAAGTAGAATGATTGTATATCATGTTAAAATAGGCCAGTTTGGGATTGGATAATATTACGATGAACGAGATCACAAAAAGGAGGATTTAACTGATTCAACTGAATTGCAAGCTCATGTGCTATTGGCATTTTATCTTGAAAAGTATATTTTAGCATGGAAAACTAATATTCATCCTTCAAGAATTATGTTTTGGAAATATTTATTTGATGATCATATCCCCTGAATTAGTGAAACTATGCTTGTAAGTTAACCAGTGTAACTTCTTTTGCCTGGGCTTGTTTGGGATCATTTGTTTTTGTGTTTTTTTATTTTTATTTTACTTTTATTTTAAGATTATGTTTGTTTAGTGCATTTTTACTTGTTATTTATTTATTTTTTAGTTGTTTTGAGTGTTTTTAAAAGCAACTAAATATATTATATCATACCAAATATGTTTTGTTTTAAACCCAAAATATATATATATAAAAATCAAAAGTGACCCCAAATGGCTTTTATTTTGTTTCACTCAGAAAAATCTTCCTGAAGTGGTGAGCAATTATCCTTGATAATATCTGAAAAATGGTAACTTGTGCAATTTGATGGGCCACATAAATTTCCATTTAGTTGATACATTATTATTATTATTATTACAACAACAACAACAACAACAACAACAAAGCCTTAATCCCACTACGTGGGGTCGGCTACATGAATCCTTTTTCTCCATTGCGTCCTATTTAGTGTCATATTTTCATTTAGTTCTAGTAAATTAAGATCATTTTTAATACAATAAGCCCAAGTCTTCCTAGGTCTACCTCTACCTTTCTTAACACAAGTTGAATTTAAAACATCTACTCTCCTAATCGGATCATCTAATGGTCGACGTTTAATATGACCAAACCATCTAAGACGACTTTCTCTAATTTTGTCTGTCACAGGAGCTACACCAACCCTATCACGAATATATTCATTCCGCATTTTGTCTCTAAGTGTAAAGCCACTCATCCACCTAATCATTCTCATCTCGGCAACACTTAACTTATTATTATGCTTCGCTTTTAAAGGCCAAC